GCAGCACCAGGGGTAGGGACGGTCGGTCCTGTCCCCCAGCCACAGAGCAGTGTATCCAGAGGGGAGACAGTTGGTCTCCCCCTCCCACAACCAGGCTCCAACCAGGCTACTTCAGTGATAGTGCTGGCACCCGGGCAGAGTACCGCTGGTCTCTGCCCACTCAGCAACCCACCAAGGCAGTCTACCAGCCCCCCGCACAGCTGTGGTGAGGCACCTGGACATGGACAAGTTGCTATTTTATCCAGGTGTAGTAACCAGTTATTGTGGGTGGGCTGTATTGCTGTTTGTGCTTCGTGGGTGGGTTGCTGGACTAACTAGGGCACTGACCAGCAGGAGGTCAGATACCCTGTTAGTCTGGATGGTAAAGGGGAGAAATGTGGCGAAACCGGCCTCGCCACGTGTCCTTGGAGGGGGCTGCTTGCCCGCCTCTTGCCTTTGGACTATGGACCAGACTTTATGTGAATGTGTTAACCCAGATAGCTGTGCCATGGAGCCCATTCGTGTAGTTAAAGACTTCGGCTCCATGGCAATTGAACTGTGTGAATAGGATCTGAGCGCTCTTCGGTAGTTTTGTGCGCTCAGATCCCAGCTATCTGGGGATATGTGAAATGTCTGTGTGTTATGTGAAAAGGTTACTTTATGTATTTTAAAGTGTTTTGTGTCTTTTTGCAACCATGTGCTTAATGGAGTCTTGTGTCTTTCCTGGGAGATAATTGAATTACTCTCCAGGATAGAAGACTCTGAAACTGGTTTGGGCCAGAAAGCCATGCTTCATTTAGTCACAAAGGACTTTCCCTTAACTTTTGAACCCCTGGTCTGATTCGTGCCATTTTTAAATATGTTGTTGCCCTGAATGGACTGATTATGAAAATGTATGTTTTATGTTTGTGACATGTATATTTTAGAAGTTATAAATATTGTGTAAAAACTGTATTCCTCTGCCGGTGATAATGAGATTACCCATTGTGTTCAGTAATCATATCACCTGCAGAGGGGAGGATTTTGTGTGGGAGTGTCTGGGTGTATTGTACGGATTGATTGGTTGTTTTGTAACGCCCTGTGGGCTGTACTATGTTTTGTGGATTGTAATAAAAACCAGGCTGGGTGTGCCAGCACTTGAGTTCCTGTTTTAACCCTCAAAGTGAAGTGTCGTCTCATTATTGGGGGAAGGATTTATTGTATGCTGTTCCAGTTTGACTGCTAGGAGAGTAAACCTATTCGTATGGTTCCTATTCAACTGTCTACAGCATTCTTATGCTTGAGAGAAGGTATACGCTTCTCTGGTTCGGTGATTGTGGTGTCTGCTGCAGTGCTTGGAGTCCTCAGGAAGCGCTAGGAGCATCTTTCAACGGAGGTACCCAGTCGGGGTGCCAGGCGATCCGTTACAATGTGTGTCACTGTTTCTGTGTGTCGGTGTTCGTATATGTATGTGAGTGTGGGTATCTTTGTCTGAATGTGTGTCAGTGTATGCATCTGTGTGTGTCAGAATATGCATCTGTGTATCTGCATGTGTGTCAGTGTATGTATCTGTGTTTCATTGTATCTGCATATGTGTCAGGATATTTATCTGTGTGTCAGGATTTGTATCTGTGTGTCAGGATATGTGTGTGTGTGTGTCAGGATATGTCTGTCTGTGTATATGCATGTGTGTCAGTGTTTTATTCGGTCTGTATCTGTATGTGTGTCAGTGTTTGTATCTTTATGTTTGTGTATCATTGTATCTGTGCATCTGTATGTATGTCAGTGTGTGTCTGTGTATCTATATGTGTTTCAGTGTTTGTTTCTGTGTATCTGCATGTGTGACAGTTTGTGTGTCTGGGGCGGAGAAGAAGCAGGAAGAGTCTGGGGCTGAGAAGAAGCAGGAAGAGTCTGTGGCGGAGGAGATTCACTGAGGGTCTGGGCGGAGGAGAGTCACTGAGGGTCTGGGGCAGAGGAGAAGCAGGAAGAGCATGGGGCAGAAAAGAAGCAGGGGGAGCCTAGGGCAGAGAAAAAGGAGTGATTGAACAGAGAAAAATGTATACATTTAAATTAAATGCAAATAAATAAAAGGATGATGTGGGTGATAGTAGGTCTAAATTTTAGTGCAGGCAAGCCACTGTATTGAGGTCACTCTAAACCTCTATATAAATAAAATAAACACAAAGTCTGAACACTAGTGCAGACTACAGGGCGCCACAACCACTAAGATAAATATCAATATGGTATAGAATAATCCCGTAAATGCAGAGTATACTGTGGAAGTGTAGGGTCCACTTTATTGAAACAATAATAGCCAAAAGTGCAACATGCACAAAATAACAGTAATAAAAACAATAATAATCAAAATCAAGAACCCCTATGGATGGCAGCTAAAATCATACAAGTAAAAGTGCAAGTGCCAAGTACAAAAGTACCAATGGTACAAAAACAGCATAAAGTGCACAAATACTATGAGATGTAATACTTGTAGAAAAAGACTGCTATACCAAAAAATGCAGGGATCTTGAAGGTGCTCAATGCTCAACGCGTTTCGTCGATGTCGAGTTCTTCAGGAGCTTGCTGAATTGCTGTTGGTCCCGTTCGTCTTTTAAATCCGCCGGTCTGGCCGCCATTAATTGATCGCGCATGCGCAAACCGTACCGTGCGCACCTTCATACGTGATGACGTGCGACTGGTCGGAAGGCGCATGCGCAAACCAAGCTGGAACGCAAATAAACTTTATGTATAATGTATGCAGCCGCAAAGTGAGCAACAATCCACTTGGAAAGCTCATAGCAATTGCGGTCTGAATTTACAGACCTGCCTATATACAATCTGTTATATTACATATGTGGCATCCTCAATTAAGATGCAAATTAGGCTGGATACAATAAAAATGATGATTAATAGGGCCAACAAGCATATTATATGCAGCTATAACGCTGTGAAAAATTAAATAGTTTATTATATGATTTAAAAATATATAAACACATACATGTGTATAAATATAAATATAAACAGAAAAATGAAAAATGAGGAAAAAAGAGGAAAAAATTAAATTAAATGAGGAAAAAAGCTTAAAAGCCCATTTGCATTGCTACATTCATGTTTTGAATACATACATTTTGCTAAGGCTAACATAAAAAGCTGTCCTTTTAATATCATAATAGATCTTATAAACATTAATATAAAATGTCAAGAAATCAAAAATTCAATTTATCTGAATGTATACAAAGTTCAAGATGAGAACAAATCCCAGCGATATAAATTTAATCAAAAGCCATATTTAAAAGAGAAAGAGATAAGTAGCAAATATACTAAAAAATATGTATAATAAATTATAAATCATAAAACCCTATATATATACAATCCAAAGAGTAGACATAATTTTCCGAAGAGTAGACATAATTTTTCTGTTGTTTCATTCTTCATTGCTCATAGAAAGGGGATATGAAAAGAGAATATAAAAAGGAAATATAAAAAGGGGATATAAAAACGACAGATTAATATGTGCAAATTAATCAATAAAAACAAGTATGTCAAGGTCTGTATTGAGGCCCGAGGGAACCGATGATTTCATCTTGTATATCCATTCGGTTTCCCTCATTGCCAACATTTTTTCGGTATTACCCCCTCTCCAGTGTGGTATGATCAAGTCAATTCCAATACATATAAAATCTTTCAAATTAAAAACATCACAGGTGGTGCAGTGTTTAGGAACACTGTGTTTCATGTTTCTATTATTAATCCCATTAAAATGTTCAAGTAATCTAACATGTAGTTTTCTAATGGTGCGTCCTATATACTGGACGCCACATTTACATTGTAATAGATATACAACATTTTTACTTTGACAGTTAATAAAATGCTTTATTTTAAAGACCTCCTTAGTTACAGTGCTCCTAAATTCTATGGTTTTATTTGCTTGAAATTTACAGGTGCTGCACCTACCACATTTAAATAAACCCATAGGTTTCTTAGATAAAAAGTGCTCCTTCTCTTTGCCCTCTTTAGGTAATATACTAGGTGCTAAAATATTTTTCAAGTTATTAGTTTTCTTATATAGCACTTTCGGTCTTGATGGTAAGATCTTTTTCAGATACTGATCCTGCAATAGAATGGGCCAATTCCTTCGTATAGATCTTTCTATTAAATTCGCCCTTCCATTGTATTTAGTGAGGAAAGCAAAATCGAAATCATTTTTCTGACTTCTATTATTCACAATTTTATGTTTCTTTTTGTCTACTAGGAGATCTTTCCTTTGGAAACTTTCTACCTTTTGTTGAGTTTTGGATAAAAGATCCTCAGGGTAATTTCTATCTTGGAATTTCTTGTTTAAAACCTGTACTTGTTGTTTAAAATCATCCCTATCAGTACAATTTCTAAAAATCCTCATATGTTGCCCCTTTGGGATATTCGTCAACCAATTCCGGTTATGGCAACTAGAAAACTCAATGAATCCATTCCCATCTGTAGGTTTAAAATAGGTCTTGCTTCTTACTCTTCCTTCTTTTATAAATAGAGTCAAATCTAAAAAATTTATATGAGTATTCTGTATCTCCTCAGTGAATTTGAGACCATACGTATTAAGATTAATAAAAGACAAAAACTGCTCTAAAACCTTCCTTTCCCCCTTCCAGACAATTAAAACATCATCAATATATCTTCTCCATTGTACCAGGTTCGCACCAAATGGGTTATTCTGCCAAATATTCTGAAGTTCCCAATCTGCCACAAAAATATTGGCATAACTTGGTGCGAACCTGGTACCCATGGCTGTTCCACATATCTGAAGGTAATAAACCTCGTCGAACCAAACGAAATTATGGAACAGGATAAACCTTATAAGAGTCAAAATAAACGAAATTTGTTCAGTGTTCATATCAGGATCTTTCATTAAAATCCTATGGATGGCATCTATACCCTTCTCATGATCTATAACTGTGTACAAAGATGCCACATCCACAGTCGCCCAAAGGTAATTTTCATCCCACTCAAAATCTTCAAATTCCCTAATGATCTGAGCGGAATCTTTAACGTACGATCTTGTTTGTGTCACATATTTCTGAAGAAAAAAGTCGATATATTGGGAAATATTACTAGTCATAGAGCCAATCCCACTAATAATAGGTCTTCCCGGTGGAGATATAAGGCTCTTGTGTACCTTTGGCAGGTAGTAAAAGACAGCTGTCTTTGGGGACGAGATAAACAGATAATCAAATTCATCTTTATCTATGATCCCCTTCTTAAAACCTTCATCCAAAATCTCATATAACTTTTTTTTGAAATTACACGTAGGGTTACTTTTCAGGATTTTATACGTATTAGAGTCCCCCAATATTCTTTGGGACTCTTTCATATAGTCATCTCTATTTAGGACCACAATACTCCCCCCTTTGTCGGCTTGTCTAATTACTAGCTCTCTATTATCTTTTAATGATTTAAGAGCTTGTTTCTTTCTCTTAGTTAAGTTCTCTTTTTTCTTATTAACAGAAATCCTTTCAAAATCGCTCATGATCATCTCACAAAAGACCGGGATATGGTCTCCCTTTTCCCAAGTGGGAAAAAACTTAGATTTATTCTTAAGACCCGAGTGGATTGTCTCTGGTGTCTGTTTTCCATCTATAGATATTATATCTTTACCAGGAATGTCTGAAATAGTTCTTAGGACAGGTATAACGTCTTTTTTCTTCTCGAAAAATCTTTTAATTGTTAATTTTCTTAAAAACTTTTGAGTGTCAATAAACAATTCAAATAAATTTGGATCAGCTTGTGGGGCAAATTTCAGCCCTTTACTTAGAACACTTAATTGTTCAGAATTCAAGGTCACTGTAGATAAGTTCAGAATGCCCTCACTTTTAGGTGTGCTATTTAATCGGACATTTCTCCCTCCTCTATTTCCCCTAGTCCTCCAGTGGCTCCCAGTAACTTCCTTTTCTTTGGTGGTGTCTGAATAGTCTGTAATGGCGGCCAGACCGGCGGATTTAAAAGACGAACGGGACCAACAGCAATTCAGCAAGCTCCTGAAGAAGTCGACATCGACGAAACGCGTTGAGCATTGAGCACTGTAACGGCTACCCTGGTAGAGAGAGGGTATCGGCCGTTGGAGACGTCCTTTTTCCCTGCAAGCTGCTGCGGAGAAGTAAGCTGGTATAATCCCATTCACGATATCCAGAGTAAAAGTCAGGTTCAGCTGTAGCAGGAGCAGAATAACATTCCCAAATAATCCCCTTCCAAGAACGAGACAAGGCTACGTTTTGCAGGGTCAAGAAGATCTGAGGACTGGAACACCCAGCCTGCTTTTATTGGGATCAGGTACACACAGGATACTCCCAGAGGGAGGATAAAAACACCCAATCATATACCTGGTAACACCCCCACGTCTCCTCCCCTCAGATAACATATAACATAATTAAAATGTACAACATTTTACCCCAGTTCTGGATGTTCCCCAAAAACAGGGGGTACAGCCCATTCGGATGAATAGTTCGGGAGATACAGAGTTCCAAAGTTTTGACCGACCGCACAGACCAACTAGCCGAAAATAGTTCCATGAGTTTTGGCCTTGCGGTCGGTCTCCGTTCGCCTGGTAAAAAGGTCTGAAATTCTTGCCATCCATTCGAATCTCGGGGTTCGCCGCAATCCCCATAGATGATTGAACATAACTACCGAACGTCCGGTGATTCGGTAGTTTCCGTGCGAACTTCTGGAAGTATGGAGGACTCAGCGGTGTTCGCCTGTTTGCGTATCCGATTTTAGTTCCACGCGTCGACAGGCAAACACCGCTGTTCGCACGTAAGATGGCCGCGGCCACGTGTAAAGTCCCGAAATGGCGGCCACCTATACTTTACACAGGGAATTCATGCGAATCCATTCGAATGGTTGAAATGCACTAAATGTGACGAATTCCTGCTGATTTTGGTTAGTTCACTGGCCCAGGCATACAGCATAGTTCTGTTACACTGCTCCCCTTTTGTGGAACACTCCGGCAGACCCGGATTGACCTTTTTCGGGTCAACTTGGGGCTGTCCGGTCTGCCTCTAAGGTAAAAGTTCTGTTTGCCTGGACAGTCCGTCTGCATTCCCATTGAACCGGCCTGGGCGATACTGGATGGAGAAATTATACGGTTGTAGGGCTAGGCTCCACCTCAGTAGTCGTCCATTGTCCCCAGCCACTCGGTTCAGCCATACTAGAGGGTTATGGTCTGTGATCAGGGTAAATTCCTGACCATAAAGGTAGGGGGTGAGCTTCTTTAGGGCCCAGACCAGGGCTAGACATTCCTTTTCCACTGCCGCATAACTCACTTCCCTGGGCAATAGCTTTCTACTCAGGTATGCGACAGGGTGTTCTCCCCCATCTTCTCCGACCTGGCTTAGCACTGCCCCCAGTCCGTACATGGACGCATCTGTGTGGACGACAAATCTTTTATTAGGGACGGGGGCAGACAAAACCGGTGCGTTGATCAGAGCTTGTTTCAGGGTTTGGAATGCTGCTTCACAGGCGGGAGACCACAGGACTACCCTAGGTAAATTTTTCTTCGTTAAATCGGTCAGAGGTTTGGCGATGGCGCTGTAGTCAGGGACAAATTTTCTGTAGTACCCTGCCGTTCCCAAGAAGGCTAATACCTGGGTCTTAGTGTGAGGGGTGGGCCAATTCGCTACGGCCTCTACCTTGGCGGGTTCTGGTCGTTGTTTCCCACACCCCACTCTGTGTCCCAAGTACTGAACTTCAGCCATACCAAAGTTACATTTTTCTGGTTTCAGGGTTAGGCCGGCGGCCCTAATCTGATCCAGCACAGCCTCTACGTGTCGTAGGTGTTCTTCCCATGTCTCACTATAGATCGCAATGTCATCCAGGTACGCGCAAGCGAATTCCTGGAAGCCATCAAGGAGGCGGTCCACTAAGCGCTGAAAGGTAGCTGGGGCATTTTTCATCCCGAAAGGCATGACCTTGAACTGGTACAAGCCAAATGGGGTGACAAACGCCGACTTAGGGATAGCGTCCTTGGCCAGGGGGATCTGCCAGTACCCTTTGCACAAATCGATGGTGGTCAGATAGCGTCCCCTAGCAATACGATCTAATAGTTTGTCTACTCGGGGCATGGGGTATGCGTCTGTCACAGTTCTGTCGTTAAGGCGTCGGTAGTCGACACAAAATCGGGTCGTTCCGTCCTTTTTGGGGACTAGGACGACTGGGGATGCCCAGGGGCTGTCGGAGGGTTCTATAACTCCTAGCTTTAACATTTCCTGAATCTCCTTTCTCATCTCCTCTTTCACGGCTTCGGGAATTCTATAGGGAGTCTGTCGGAGAGGGTTTTGTCCTGGGGTCTCTACGTAATGTGTCGCTAAGGGTGTGTAACCGGGTTCCTGGGAAAACGTCAATCTTTTTGCAGCTAGCATCTGCTGGAGTTGCTCTCTTTCGGTGGGCGTTAGTCGCTCCCCTAGCTGTACAGTGTTCAGCAAGGTTTTAGACTCGGGGTTAGCTAGTAGATCCGGGATGGGGAGACTGTCCGGGTCCTCAGTGGCCGGGATACATATGGCTGCTATGTCTTCGGGCCTTTCCTGGTACTCTTTCAGTAAGTTTATATGGAAGGACTTCTGTATCCTCTCGTCCTTGCTACTGGCAATTACATAGGTGGTGTCACAGATCTGTGCGACCACCTTGTAAGGGCCTTGCCAGGAGGTTTGTAATTTGTTCCCTTTAACGGGTCTAAGTACTAGGACTTTCTGTCCCACCTGGAAGGTTCTCAATCTCGCGCCCCGGTCGTACCAATGTTTCTGTCGGCCTTGGGCCGCCTGGAGATGCTCTCGGGCCATCCTGGCTAGGTGCCCCATGCGGTCCCGCATCTCCAGTACATATGGTACGATGGGGACCCCCTCATGTTCTGTCTCTCCCTCCCAGTGCTCTCGGATCAGGTCGAGGGGGCCTCGTACCCGCCGTCCGTAGAGCAATTCGAATGGGGAGAACCCTGTGGATTCTTGCGGCACCTCTCGATATGCAAACAAGAGGTGTGGCAAGAATCGCTCCCAGTCCCTGTATTCCGCTGTAAAGGTACGCAGTAGTTGCTTTAGGGTACCATTAAAGCGTTCACAGAGACCGTTAGTTTGAGGGTGATACGGGGAACTAAGGAGGGATTGGACACCGCAGGCCTTCCATAACTGCTGAGTTAGGTCTGCGGTGAACTGGGTCCCTCGATCCGACAGGATTTCCCGGGGAAATCCTACTCTGGTGAAGATCCCAACTAGAGCACTGGCGACAGTGTCAGCCTGGATATTCGTCAGAGCGACGGCTTCTGGGTAGCGGGTAGCATAGTCTACTACAGTAAGAATATATTTCTTACCAGAGGGACTGGGGTTAGGTAGGGGTCCCACTAGGTCGACTGCCACTCTGCTAAATGGTTCCTCGATCACTGGCATGGGTAACAGTCGGGCTTTGGGGTGATCCCCTCTCTTTCCCACCCTCTGGCATACATCACAAGTGCTGCAGTAACGGCGCACATCTTTCGAGATCCCTGGCCAAAAGAAGGTCTGGGTGATCCGGAAGGTTGTGCGGTTACCCCCTAGATGCCCTGCCAACGGAATGTCATGGCCAATTCGGAGAAGCTCCCACCGGTACTTTCTGGGTACCACTAATTGGCGCTTCTGCGAGGGGGCACAGCCTCTCTTCCTGCCTTCGGTCACTCTATATAGCCTGTCCCCCTCCCATACAAAACGTTCTCGCTCGTCCCCCCTACTGTCAGCTAGTTCCCTGTACTTTTGGAGGGTGGGGTCCTGCCTAGTTTCCCTCCCAAATTCTTCTGGGGTGTCCCAAGCTATGGGTCTCTCTGTAATGTTAGTGTGGGGTGTCTGCTTGTGGCTTACCTGGGTCTCCCGACCTGTTGTAGGATCGTCCTCGATACGGGTCTGTGAGCGGGTGGTCACGGGGCAAGCACCAGCAGTAGTGGGTAAAAATGCTGAAGCTAGAGGGCCAATATCGTTGCCCAATACGACCTCGGCGGGTAAATTGTCCATGATGCCCACTGTGGTCTTTCCTGACCCGGCTCCCCAATCTAAGTGTATCCTGGCGGTGGGTAAGCGAAAAACAGCTCCCCCTGCGACACGAACAGCCACGGTACGATTTGACACATGTTCTGGTTTTACAAGGTGTTTCTGTATTAGGGTAATGGTAGCGCCAGTGTCTCTTAGGCCTTGTGCTATCTGTCCGTTCACACGCACCTCCTGGCGGTGATGCTGACGATTATCTGGGGAAGCTGCTTGTATGGGGTTGGCCTCATATAATATTCCCAGGCACTCTTCAGGGCTTCCTTCAATTTCTAGGCAGTGAGCAGCCGCTGGACGTGGCGGTGTGCTTTCGGTGTTAAGTGGGCGCCTCCAGTTATTATTGGCTGATCCCAACGGGCAATACCGGGCAATATGTCCTGTGTTGCCGCAGCGATGGCACGTTACTTTGTAAGATTCCCGGGGATGGTTGTTATGCCCCTGGGGACGTGGAGGCCCTG